CGCACAGCAACAAAGACCCACCACCGCCAAAACAGAACTAAATCTCAAAAGCAAAAACAAAACTGTAGCTCTACACCACCCTGGGAAGAGACATAGTGTTAAATATTCCATTTGCTCCTCCTTTTCAATTATTTCTTCAGATATTCTAGGTTCTTTGCATTTCCAAGTACATTTTAGAATCAGCTTGTCAGTGTCTAGGAAAAAAACAAACAAAAAACCTGGTACAAATGTGATAAACTGACTCTGTAGCTCAATTGGGGTGATACTGACATCTTAAGAACATTGAGTTTTCCAATTCATGAACACAATGTATGTCTACATTTAGGTCTTCTTTGACTTCACTGAGCAATGTTTTGTAGTTATCAGTATATAAGTTGTACACATATTTGTTGAACTTACTATTTCATGTTTTCACATTGTTTTAAAATGGAAGTTTTAAAGTTTTAGTTTCCAGTTGTTTGCTACTAGTATGTGATTTTTGTATAATCATCTTGTAAACTGTAAACCTACTAAACTCACTTTTCAGTTCAAGTAGCTTTTCTATGTTCCTCAGGGCCCTCTACATAAACAATCATGTTGCCAGCAAATAAAGACAGTTTTACTTTTTCTTTTCCAATCTCTATGCCTTTTATTCTTCTGTTTTGTTTTCTTGAACTGGCTAGGGCCTCATGTAACAGCAAACAGAAGTGCTTATTAGAGCAAACACCCTTGACTCATTCTCATCACAGAGGAGGTAAAGCTTTAGTTTCTCATTAACTCTGTGTGATGTTACCTGCAGGTTTTTCATGGACACCCTTAACCTAGTTGAAGATGTTTCTTCCTAGTTTGCTGAGTCTTTTTTTCCATGAATAGATGCTGAATTTGGTCAAACTCTTTTTCCACATTTACTGAGGCAATCAAATAGCTTTTCTAATTTATTTATTAATGTGGCATATTATATTGATTCTCAAGTGTTAACAATATTGTATCCCTGAGACAATAAGCCCCACTTGGTTATACTGTATAATCCTATTCCATTGTTGCTGAATACAATTTGCTAATTTTTTTAAAGCTTTTTCTCCTATATTCATGAGAAATATAAGTCTGTGACTTTCTTTTTTGTGGAATGTCATCGTTAGGTTTCAATATCAGGGTATGCTGGCTTCATAAAACAAGTTATTCCATCTGCTTTTGAAACAATATATTTAAATATTTGCTTCATGATGTGATGCGGAGCAAAGACAGAAGATCAGTACCGTGCACCATATGAATGAATACACATACAGATGTTAATATGTGAAGAACAAAAACAGCAATCCTGGAAGATAAGATTATAGGTGACTATTTTTTATTAAATTTAAGTTTTCAAAATGGGAAGGACATAAAGGAAAATGAGTAGGAGAAAGATTGCTTAAAACTGGCTGTCTCCACTGGGAAATTTCCCCAAAAATAAAAAAAGTTATCAGGAGAGAAGGTCTGAGATCATCTCTAATCTCATTTTGGCCAAAGGTTTTCTTAATTATTTCTGTCTCTCACTTCGCTGTAAACAATCAAAGTACCAGAGATTTGCAACTAGGAAAAACAACCCAGTATCTCTGTCCTTTTCAATTGCAATAACAAACTTATATAATAAACAATGGAAATGTACTCCTCACAACTCTCGAAGCACAGAGTCCAGATCAATATACCTGCAGATCCAGTACCTAATGAGAGCTGGTTTTCTGGTTCACAAAGATTAAGTATGTTTTTGCTGTATTATCATATTATAGAAGGCAGCAAGGACATTTTCATGGGTATCTTTTAGAAGGGCACCAATCCCATTCATGAGGGCTCGGCCCTTGTGACCTAATCATCTCCCAGAGGCCCCAAATCTTCTAACACCATCACTGCAGAAGTTCAGTTCAGTTCAGTTCAATTCAGTTCAGTTCAGTTGCTCAGCCGTGTCCGACTCTGTGACCCCTTGGACTGCAGCACACCAGGCCTCCAAGACCTTCACCAACTCCCAGAGTTTACTCAAACTCATGTCCATTGAGTCGGTGATGCCATACAACCATCTCATCCTCTGTCATCCCCTTCTCCTCCCGCCTTCAATCTTTCCCACAGCATCAGGGTCTTTTCTAACTGCAGAGGTTAGGTTTTAAAACATGATTTTGTGGAGGACAGGAACATTCAGACGACAGCAATGAACTAGCCACACTTGCTGCATTATTTAGGGCTTTCCTAAATATACTGACAGAATGTAAGGAGATATACACACACACACACACACACACACATATATATAAATTTATATCTATTTATAAGAGATTGGCTCACACAATCACGGGGGCTAAAAGGTCCCATTATCTGCCATTTGCAGGCCCAGGAAAGCCAGCAGTGTAGTTCCAGTCCAAACCTAAAGGCCTGAGAAGCAGGAAAGGCTTGGCCTGAGAGGGAAGGCCCAAGAAACAGGAATGCCAACATCCAAAGACAGAAAGAGATGGGTATCTCAGCTAAAGACAGGGAACAAGCTGGCCCATCCTCCACCATCCTATTCTATTCATGTCCTCAATGGACTGCAAGACATTCACCAACACTAGTGCATATGATCTTTTTCATGAAATCTACCAATTTAAATGTTAATTGCTTCCAGAAACACACTCAAGAGACACACCCAGAAATAATGAACTAACGTTTGATCTCTGGGCATCCCTCAGCTCAAACTGTCACACAAAAATTAACCATTACACTTACCAAAGACCTAAGTTAAATTTTCAAATACTAGCACAAAGCCACAGATTCAGTCTCATTAAAGGCATTTAGTCATTAAAAGCATTTAAGCACTATTTGAAAGGTTTTACACCTAGAAATTTTTGTTCCTTCATAAGGAAATAACAGCATTCTAACACCTAATTTGTTATATAAAAAGTAAATACATATTTTATTAACTTCAAAATTTGACATCTATCACAGGTATGTTATAATTTTAAGTGGGAACACACAACAAGAAGTTGACATTTGCACTAAGATTTGAAAGAAATAAAGAAGCAAGGGAAAAGTCTTCTAGAAAGAAAGACCAGCACATGCAAAGGCCCTGAGGTAGGAACATGCCTAGCATATTCAAAGAATGGCAGAGGCCAATGCAGCTTGAAGGGAGTTTGCAAGGAGAGTGGTTAAGAGATGAGGCCAAAAAGGTAACACGAAGCTTGGAAGGCCTAAGAGCTGTAACAGATTGATAAATTCCATTTCTTAAAAATAGTTTCTAAAAATTTATCATGGCGAACACACACACACTAACAGCAAAAAAGTCAAAAGGCACATATAGAAAAAACACAATGGCACAAAGGACTAATCTTTCTAATGTAAAACGGGTCCTAGAAATAGATACAATAAAGATGCCAATATGAGAATGAGCAAAAAGCATTAGCACAAAGATGTTAGCAATCCTAATGCCCATCAATAGGGGAATGATTAAATATAAACTGATACTGACATACAACAGAATACAACGCAACTTTTAAAAATGAATGAAAAAGGATGTAGACAAATCAGAACTCACACACAAGGCTAGTGGGAATGTAAAATGATGAGGCCACTACGGAAAGGTTTGGCATTTCCTCAAAAAGTCAAACAGAGCTACCACATGACCTAGTAACCTTACTCTTAGCTATATAACCAAAAGAATGAAAACCATGTCCACACAAACTCTTGTACATGAATGCTCACAGAAGTATTATTCATAATGGCCGAAAAGTAGAAACAACCAGAATATTTATCAACTGACAAATGGAGAAACGAAATGTGGTATATACTCATACAATAAAAAGAAATGAAGTACTGGGGCATGCTACAACATGGATGAACCATGCTACATTATGAATGAAGACAGATACAAAGAGCCACACAATGTATGATTCCATTATATGAAATGTCTATAAAGGGAAAATCCATACAGAAAATAAGCAGATCAGTGGTTACTATGGGCAACAGGGCGAGGGAAATGGGGAATGACTGCTAATAAGTAGAGGGGTTCTTTTGGGGTAATGAAGTTCTGGAATTAGACAGCAGTGACAGGTTTACAACTTTTTTGAGTTTATTAAAAACCATGTAAATAGATACTTTGAAAGGGTAAATTCTGGAGTACCTGAAGTATATATCAATAAACGTTTTACTTGAAACACAAAAATGAGAAAGCTCTCTAAATGCTTGTATACAGAAACTGCCAAGATAGACTGCTAACTGAAAAAATAAGAAAATTCAAAACACTATGCATAATTTCCTACCTTTTACATGAATACACGGGGAAATAAGAATCTAAACTCGTAACTGAATATACATGCATAAAAAAATCAGGAAGGATACATAAGAAACCAAGCATGAACGGTGGTTACTATGCAGACAAACAGGAGGGCTGCAGAGATGGGGAACAAGGACAAGCAGGAGATGGTTCATGTGCACTTTTATGAGTCTGATATTGGAACAACATAAATGTATCTATCACCTGCTTGAAAATGAAATTAATCAAGAATAGAGGATTATCACAAATGATAAAATCAAACTTTTACTGATTACAATCTGATGACACGGAAATAAGAATAAGCAAAAACCTAAAACATGTTGCTGTATGCTGAATGAGTCACTGTCCCCAAGTTAGAAAACGGAGGCTCTGCTCCTCAGTTCTCTACTGAAGTTACTCTGTTCACTTCAAAAAATAACTCCCCTCGGTCTCAGTTTTCTTATTTCTAAATAAATACATTAGGCAAGATGATCTCTAGTGTCAATTCTTGCTGTAACTTTCTATAATGTTCAAAAAAGGAATTCAAGGCAACATTATATTCAAAGCAACAAAGTTTTAAATCTATTAATTGGGCTATCTGAGGTGCCAAATAATCAAGGAAAAGAGCCAAGACAGGCCAATACTTGAAAGAAACCAAAGTTCTACCATGCTGAGTGTGGTGGCTTTGAAAAGATGAAAAATGTTTTAGGCCAACAGATCTTTCTTGTTTAATGTCCTTGTATAATCTTCAGAAGATTTTCATTACACAATCGCCAAAACAAAGTCAACTTTAAAAAGCCAAAATGTTGCTTCGGCTGCCATGTTATCCCAAGAAGTTTCCACCATCTGGGCTGGAAATGTCCTAGAACAAACTACTGTTGGAGCAAGTTATTAATTTCATGTGAAGAAAAAAAAAAAGACAAGCACCATGACCTTGCACTGCTCAGCTTGGGCAGAGTGGAACACTTGGATAAAGACAAAAGCCTTCATGACATGGGTGTTAGTGTTGGCTAAGGACAAAGTCAACGAATGTGCAGGAAAAAAACATCCTCCTCTGACTTACTATTGGATAAGAAATTGACAGTACTGTAAATGGAACATAAGTTTAACAAAAACAACTGACAAGTTCAAAGGATTAATACCAAACATTAGAAATATCAATGTCAAGCCAACATGAAGATTCCAGAAGTAAAATATGAGGAAAGACCAAAAAGTGGTATATTTCAGATACTGTCAACAGCAGAGAAGTTTTGAAGTTAAAAAAAAATCAAAAGCATGGTAATACTCCTCAATTATAAAAGCATTAACAGTGGAGCAGAAAGTACCTGGACATTAGGAGTCAAGAAATCTGCATTCTAGTATCAGAAATGTCACTCAATTACCTTCATCAGTCACCTTATCTGTCAACTTTATCATACATAAAATATTAATGGAGTGGATCAAATATATTAAACACATTCCAAGTGTCTACAGTTTCTCAAAGAACTAATGCTATGTATGTAATGATGCATCAAATGGATGAAATAGCCATATTATCTTCTTGAAATAAAGCTCAACCAAGAGTTTTTAGAAACATTCTAAAAAATAAAAAATTAAGATGCACTGATAAGGTGGATACACAATAATAAAGCAAATATACTGAAATTGTTACATGGGTGTCCAAAGTGCAATTATGCCTGCTTAAAAGTTCCATCACAAACAAGGAACAATTAGAGAAAAAGAGCTCTCAAAAATTAGAAGTGATTGCTGAACCTTCATCGAAACTTAGAAATGGCTTTTAAATACATGAAGAGATAGTCAATCTCACTTGTAACAGGAGAATGCATGTGAGGATCATTAATGTGATTTCCATTTTTGCCTTTGGACATGGGGTCTCTCTTTTCGGTGGGTTCTAGCATTCTCCTGTTGAGAAATCAACAGCCAGCTGCGATCCTCCAGCTCTCGCAGGAGGTACGCACACGTCCTCTACTCTGCAACCCTGATTTCCATTTCCAACTTACAAAAAACCTGTAACAGACTACATTGGCATGGCTCTGTTAAATGTTTTTGGTGGAACTTATAAATGGTATAACTTCCTTTAGGGAACAAGTTTTTACCAAATTTGCTATATTTTTATCAAATTTTTAAATGGTCACAATTCCAATTCTAAGACTTATATGAGGGCTATATATGTGTATAGATGCATCAAGTGAATTTCTGTACATATATTGCATCCAATGCAGTATTATTCAGATCTATAAAGACATGAGCTACTAAGCCAGGAACACAGAGGAAACTTAAACACACATTACTAAATAAACACACATTACTAAATAAACAAGGCCAATCTAAAAAGGCTTGGACTGTAGGTTCCAACTATATGACACTCTGTTATTACAGTTGTTAATCACTAAGTCATGTCTAATTCTTTTGCGACCCTATGGACGGTAGCCCGCCAGGCTCCTCTGTCCCTGGGATTTCCCAGGCAGGAATACTGCAGTGGGTTGCCATTTTCTTCTCCAGGGGATCTTCCCAACCCAGGGGTTGAACCAATGTCTCCTGCATTGGCAGGCAGATTCTCTGCCACTGAGCCACAGGACACTCTAGAGAAGGTGAAAATATGGAAACAATAAAAGGATCAGTGGGGTGACCAAGGTTTGAGGGGGTATGAGGGATGAACAGGCAGAACACCAAGGAACTTTAAGGCAGTGAAAGTATGCTTATGAAACTATAACGATGGATGTTGTAGCTGTTGTTGTTCAGTCGTTAAGTTGTGTCCAATGCTGAGATTCCACAGACAGAAGCACACCAGACACATGTCATAATACACCTGTCAAAACCCACTGAATGCACAAGGCAACAAGAATGAACCCTACTGTACACTATGACTTGGGTGACAGTGAGGCACCAATGTAGGCGCATCGACTGTACCAAATGTGCCACTGTGGTGAGAGACGCTGACAGCAGAGGAGGCTGTGTGGGGAGGGGCACAGGGACATTCTACACTTCCTGCTCGGCTCTGCTGTGAATTCAATACTGTTCTGAAAAGTAAAGCCTCTAATTAAAAAAATGAAATACTGTTGTATTATTTACCTAAATAGATAAAGATAAGATAAGGGTAAAGGTGTATATATAAACCATCAAAATAGCTAATAATGAAAAATGATTGTCTCTGGAGAGTAAAGAGACATAAGACAAAATCAGTTCTCAGCATAACCCCTTTGTGCTTCTCGACTGTCTTATAATCTAAGACAAGTGCATCAATGACTAGCTTTAGATATCCAAAGGTAATGTAATCTGGATTATGCCCCCAAAAGAAACAACTCTATAAAGAATTCACTTATTGATACATAAGTAGGACAAAAAATTAAAAAGGAAAAAAAAATCAACTGTTTGTTGGTAGAATTAAAATTCAGTTATTAATGTCAAACCAGTTCATATTTTGCGATACTTGTACTAATAATAGGAAAAGAAATTAACAAAAGCATCCTGTACCAGTCTTGCTTTTATTTTTTTACTTGTATTAATTTACTTTGGCTGCACTGGGTCTCTACTGCAGCCCGCAGGCATCCCCTGCAGCGTGCAGGGGCTTCTCTAGTTGTGGTGCGCAGGCAGCCCCCAGGGCAGAGCACAGACTCCAGAGCGCTCAAGCTCAGCAGCTGCAGTGAGTGGGCTTCTCTAGTTGTGGCACACAGGCTTAGCTGCTCCAAGCCATGTGGGATCTCAGTTTCCCGAACATGGATCAAACCCATGTCCCCTGAATTGGAAAGCAGATTCTTAACCACTAGACCACCAAGGAAGTCACCAGTCTTGCTTTTATAAGAGTAAAAATTCTTTGAAGGCAGAGATTCAACATTTTCAGGGCTGAGTTATACAGAAGAATCCTGCAAACTGAGTCTCTCACACCTAATGCCAGGCTAGAGCCAGTCCTCCAAAGCAGTCAGAGAAGCTCTTTGAAGCAGCCTGCCACAAAAGAAACTTACTTCAGTTCTCACACAGAGGATTCAGCTTATGCTTTTGAATCTTACACATCCTGTTTCCTATGACCACTATACTTGTTAATGACCAAGGCTATTAGTTTCTACTGAGAAGTTTAAAATAGGAAAATTAACTCAGAAGAAAATATAGCCAATGCTTTTCTTAAACACTATGTGTAATGTGTGTGTTAGTCACTCAATCGTGTCCAACTCTATGCAACACTATGGACTGTAGCCCGCCAGGCTCCTCTGTCCATGGGACTTCTCCAGGCAAGAATACTGGAGAGTGTTGCCCATCCTTTCTCCAGAGGATCTTCCTGACCCTGGAATTGAACCTGGGTCTCCTGCATTGCAGGCAGATTCTTTACCATCTGAGCTATCAAGGAAGCCCTACTATGTGTAAAGCAATACACTTTGGCGGTGAGGGAGGCCTATGTCAGTTTTAGTCGCGGCATGTGGGATCTTTGTTGCATCATGCAGGAGCCTTCGTGGTTGCACACAGACTCTCTACTTGTGGTGTTCAGGCTCAGCAGCTGTGGTGTGCAGGCTCCAGAGTGCACCAGCTTCAGAAGTTGTGGCCTGTGGGCCTAGGTACTCCGCAGCAGTGTGGAGTCTCAGTTCCCTGACCAGGGATGGGACCCACATCCCCTGGATAACAAGGTGGATTCTTAACCACTGGACCCCCAGGGAAGTCCTGCAATACATTTTTATATAATCATGAAGCATTTTAAAATTTACAAAAGCATTTTCGAGTGTTTTACTCTGGTCTTCAACACAACACTAAGCAACAGATCCTTGGCAGTGAGAGCCCTCAACAGACCTCATCCCAGGATGAGACGCTCCCTCCCAGCTGCCGGTCCCTCTAGGCAGCCAAGGTCGTAGTGTACTAAACTATCGGCTTGTCAGGCTAGTCCCTCAACGGCTACATGAGTTGATCTCCAAACTGATGCACTTCAGTCTCCACATCTAAAATATTAAACTGAACTGCTGCTGCTGCTAAGTCGCTTCAGTCGTGTCTGACTCTGTGCGACCCCATAGACGGCAGCCCACCAGGCTCCCCCGTCCCTGGGATTCTCCAGGCAAGAACACTGGAGTGGGTTGCCATTTCCTTCTCCAGTGCATGAAAGTGAAAAGTGAAAATGAAGTCGCTCAGTGGTGTCTGACTATTAGCGACCCCATGGACTGCAGCCCACCAGGCTCCTGCCTTCTCCTAAACTGAACTAGATGCCTTTAAATGTCTTTTCCAAGTGACAGTCTATGACCTATGAACTTCAATTTTAAAATGAGAAAATTGAAGTGACACTGCTGATGAGCGGTAAAGCTAAGATTCAAACACTAGTTTCTGGATTTAGAATTAATGGTGTTTTTTCCTACTATAAAATGTCTCTTACATGCCTTGGCAATAGTCAATTATGTGACTATGAACAATATGAGCACATGTCTTGTATATTAACATTTGTGGTACTGGATATAGCTCAGTCAGATTTCTTGCGTAAGCCCAGTAAAGACTTACATGTTAAATTTTTTTAACTAGGATTTGTGCCCCCCCACCCCCAAAGCACCAAAAATCAAGTTTAAACTAATAAGCTACTGTGAACTTGGTTATGTCTTACTGGTATTTGAAAATGCCATCATCTTTCATTCAGTGCTTATCATGTCTTGAATACCTAATCCAACCAGGAATCTACACTAGATATTTACAGCACCTAAAACTTAAATGCTGACGTCTTTTAGCCACCCACTCTGCTGAGGCTGGATCTGACTCGAGTCTGGGTATCAACATGCAGGGCTACAGAAAGACATTCCCCAACAGTCAGGCCCTTCACTGCCAACACGGAGTCTCCAGCTGCTTCACTCTCAAAGACCTGCAGACTTCATAAAGAAACTGTT